GTCCGCCTAGCCAGAAAGGACAGTAGCTCTGGCTCAGCATGGCTTGGCACAACCCACTGAACATTGTGAGCCTGTCAAATGTATACCGGGTAGTGCCAGCCCTTATTGCTAGCACAAACCAAGGGCCTGGCACTGCCAAACTGTCCCAGTGAGCCTTAGTACAGGGGATGTTTTGCTTTTAACAAAAAAAAAAAAAAGGCTGGCCACATGTGCTTTGGCTTCTAGGAAGGAAAGGAATTTTTCCACTTTCAAGGAAAAACAAAACAAAACAAGACACCAGGTTGTTGGCTAAAGGGAAGGGGTCCTCAGCCTATGCTCAATCCAAATCCAGGGGGCCAAGGTTTCAATGGATTGCCTGGAAAGGGGATGTGTGCCAGGGTACTTCTGGAGTCATAAAAGGGATGGGCAGAATGTCTGGTTGCCAACAGCCCCACCTATCCCTTGCCTTTGGGCATGCACAGGGAGTGGTGCCCAAGACCCAGCTAAAGTACGTGGGGTGGTGGCAGCTGAGGAACCCGAAATATGCTCTAGGCAGCCACGTGGCCACGTCTTATGACGTGGGCTTCTTTTCAAATGATCAGAAGGGGTAAACATGAACTCCTGTCAGCCAGGAGAAGGAAGTGATAGGCTGTGTCTTCCATTAAAAATACACTAGACAGGGGCGGCTAGGTGGCACAGTGGGTAGAGCATTAGTCCTAGAGTCAGAAGGACCTGAGTTCAAAAATCCAGCCTCAACACTTAACACTTATTAGCTGTGTGACCCTGGGCAAGTCACTTAACCCCTATTGCCTCAAAACAAACAAAACTAAGAATATGCTAGACATATGGGTCCCAGTAGTGAAAAAACTAGGTACCAGGGCCACCCAGTATCTGGAATTTTGCCAGCTCCGATGCTTTCTAGCCATGTGACCATGGGCAAGTCAAGTCCAGTCTCTGGGCCTCAGTTCCCCTATCTGTAAAATGACAGGATTGGGCTTTCTGCTCTATCATACTCACCTGCCTAGCAAAGCTAATCTAGATTCCCTTAGTTAGTAACACAGCCTCTAGCTTGAAATTACTTTGCATCACTCTGCATGGATTTTGTATTTTTTATACACAGTATTCTCCCTTAAAGCCAGGAAGTGTTCAGTTTTTGTATCTGCACACCAAACAGAGTATCTGGAACCTAGTGGTGCTACAGAGATTCTTCTTGGTTGACTGACAGTTGAGTAGAATGTAAGCCCCTTGAGAGCAGGGACTTTTCACTCTGTCTTTGCATCTGAGCACACAGCACGCTGCCTGACACCTCCCAGGGGCTTACTGAGTACTTCTGGGTTGGTTGACAGATCTGGGTACGTGCTACAGAAGAATGTAAGCTGGGTCGGGTGGGAGTGAGGAAGGAAGGATCTGTTTGCCTTTCCATGGCCCCTACAGGCCCAGCAGAGCGCCAGGAATGAAGTGATTGAAAAACACCCTTTCCTCCTGAGCAGGCTGGGCCCCATCTCGAGGCAGTCCCAGGGACTCCACAGTTTGCTCCTGGTGTCCAAGTGAAGGGCCCCTGAAAAGCCTGACTTCGTGGACCTGCCCCTTCCCAGAAGACATTGAAAGGTTCTTCCTGTACGATGGTTCACCGAAACATTTGTCAGCATCTACTTGGTCCCATGTGTCTTCTAGTCAGTCCCGGAGAATGGTCCAGAGTCTCTGGGCCCATCTCCTTTAAAAAGCCTCTGGTGAACAATCTACAATGTACGTAGTGTGTGTGTTATATGTGGACACCATCCTAAAGGAAGAAAAGAAGCCAGATTCTTCCTCCTGCTTTGTGCTGGTCCACGCCAGGCAGCCCTGAGTGCCAGAAGCCCCTGGGTACCGCAGAGATGGGTACTAGACAAACAGAGGCAGCTCGGGCTAGCTGAGCTACCACGGAGCCCACAGAAGAAGGAAAGGGCTGGCCCCACACCAGAGATCTGGCTGGAGGAAATGAGTCAGGAGGGCAAACTCCAAGGCTGAGGCTTTTGTTTTCTAAACGGATGCTTCGGATTTTAAAATGGAAATCTTAGCATCAAGATTTGGGATTTAAACTCTCCCTAGGGAACACAAACAACACTAATATTGGCAAGAATCAGCCAGCTCTGGCTGGGTCTGGCCCATGGGCTGTAGGTTGCTGACTCCTAGCCTGATGGAGAGCCAGTCTCGGAGCACGGAAGACCTAGGTTCAAGTCTCTGACACACACTGGCTGTGTGACCCTGGCCAAGTCACTTAACCTTCCTAGTGTTCTAAGACTAGAAGATGTTGCTGCACACTGGTAAAGGGCATTTCCTTACCAGCAAACTCCCTAAACTGACGCATCACAAGTCAAGCTAAAGAAAAAATGTTAACATGTGCCAGTCATTAGGAAAACAAAGGGGGGAAAGAGTCTTGTTCTCAAGCTTCCATTCTACTGCTTAGGAGAATTGATTATATAATATTGCAGAATACCATTCATAGGCTCATCAGCCTGCAATGAGAAGGGGCCTTGGAGGCAGCCAAGTTTTACCCCTTCACTTTACAGATAAGGAAACAAAGGCATCTTCCCAAGGCCACGCAGCTAGTAAGTGACTGAGGCAGGTCTTTCTGAGGTTGGCGCTGTCTCAGGTAGCACAATGGATAGATAATTGGGCCTGGAGTTAGGAAGACCTGAGTTCAATTGTGACCTCAGGCATTTACTAGCTTTGTGACCCTGGGCAAGTCATTTAACCTGTTTGCCTCAGTTTCATCAAGAGTAAAATGGGGATGATAATAATAGAACCCACTTCACAGAGAATTAAAAGAGAAGATATTTGTAAAGGGCTTAGCACACCATAAGCATTATACAAATGCTTTTTTCCTCCCCTTCCCTCCCTCTTTAAATTCATATTTCAATTTGTCCCCATTCCTTGCTGGGCCAGGTTCATTCTCTGTTGTCTGGGTCCCTCAAATGCAGACACAGTTAAGCAGAAAGAAGCGCTCAATCCACAGAGGTACCGGGCTCACTGACACCAGGGCAGGCTGCCCCATCCTGGCATGAGTAGGGAAGGGCTGCTCACCCACCTCTCTAGACACAGTTATGTTCACAGGTGGTAACAGGCTGCGACTAGGAACATGAGTGCCAGCACTCCCAGCTGGCTTCATTTGCTCACTGAACCTACCAAGCTGCACATCCTCAGACCTTGCTCCTACACAGAATGAAAGGAGAGAAGGACTCCCCCTCAGCCCAGTGTGAGATGGCACAAAGAGCACTGGGTTCAAATCCTACCCGTTGCTTCCTACCTAGATGACCTCAGACAAATGACTTCACCTCTTAGGGTTTCAGTTTCCCCATCTGTAAAATGAGCAGGTCAGATTATAAAGCCCCTGAGGTCCCTTTCAGCATTAAGTATATGGTTCCGTGATCCACCCCTGAAATATTCAAACCTACTTTATTGCTACTTCAGCTCTAGCTCTCCCTTCGGTTCTGATAAGAGGAAGATAAGTCCATTATTCAGACTTGATAGCCTTTCCCTACAAACTTGCCTAGCTCAGGGTATTAGAGGAGACAGTGAGATGTGCAGAATCCAGCAGTTTGGGGGGTGGGAGGATGGGTAGGAGAGGCCCTGCAGAAGGGTTCCCAGGTCTTGTCAGACTCTTAATACCATCTAGGATGCTAAGGAACCCTGGAGTATGGCACCATAGCCCTCCCAGAGGTGGCCCCATATCTACCCCATGGCTCATTCTCCCACTGGGTGCCAGGAACCCCACCCACCAAACACATGCCAGACTTCTCTAAACCAAAAACAAACAAACAAAAAAAAAGCCCCAACAGATGCCCTTTCTGGACCCTGAGACCGCGGTTTGCCTAGAACTTTGCCCGCTGCCCCAGCCCGGCAAAGCTGGTGATTCCCCAAAGCCCAAAGAGGGCCAAGGGCTCAGCCTAAGAGAAGATACCAGGCAGAGCCAAGTACCACCCTGTGCCTCACACCCTCACTCTCAATAGCAACAGAGGAGCCATTTAGAAAAATAATTTTAGATCGTAGAAATATGCCCCAGGGGGAGAGGCACGTTCTGTCTCTGGTTCTCTCCCAAGCAAGAATGAAGCTGGTTTTAGAAAAATGCATTTCAACAGCTATGTCCTCCTGGTTCCTTGAAATTGTCAAACTCTCCCTTGAAACTCCCCCATCCTGGCTTGACGCTAGGAAACCTGGGCCTTTCAGAGAGAGGGTCGAGTCCCTGGGAGGTTACTGCTCTGATCCATTTTTCCATAGGAATTGAAAAAGGGTAGGGGTACCCGCCTCGTAATCCAATCGGGCCCTCTCAGGCACCATAGGAGGCTGGGATAAAGTCTGCCCGCCCCGGCCGCCTGCAAGGGCTCCTGGGTGATCCCGGACAGGCGGAAGCATACATGGCACTCCGCAGGCCTGGCCCGGCCCACAAGCTGTCAGACACAGCTCCGCTCCCCTCCCCACCCCCACTCCTGGGAAGCCTGGGCCTCCTCTGGGCAGTGGGCAGGGGAGGCCGGCAGTCGTGTCCTCACAAGCCCCGGACACTTGCGGCTCCCACCCCAGGCTCTAGGGCAAACCCAGCCACACCCAGCCCAAAGAGCCCCAGAACTGGGATCCCGGGATCCCGGGCTCTGCTTGCTGCAGCTGGTTACCTGTCTGACCTTCAGCAAGTCCCTCCCCGACCCCCATCTGGGCCTCACTTTCCTCCTCAGTAAAAATGCCTCGAGGCTGGCCTGGCAGTCCCCCGGGGTCTCCGGGCCATATCGATGCGAGATGCTCCAGTTCTCCAAAAAAAAAAAAAAAAAAAAAAAAAAAAAGCCAAGGGAAGAACCAAGGGCATCCGGCCTCCGGAGAAGCGGGGAGGGGGTCTTACCTGGCAGCCGCCAACCTCTGCACCCCTCCATCTCGGGGTGCCCCGTCCCTAGGCGAGCCTGGAGCAGAGGGGCGGGCAGGCTGGCAGGCCGCTGCGCAGGCGGCCCACCAGGGTTGGTGTCTCCCTCCCCGCGTGACCCCCTCCCCATACTCACGGCGGGGGCGTCGCTGCTGGTGTACCGCAGCACGATGTGGAAGGGCTGGTGGGGCTGCAACGCGCCGGGGAGGCTGATGGTCAGGGATGAGCCGTAGTCCGTGAAGGGCTCCACCCGGAAGAGCAGAGGGTGGCAGGGCCCCGGCGGCGCGCCCGGAAAAGTGGGCAGGGGCGGCGGGGGGCTGGGTGCCGGAGGGGGTTCGGGGTCCGGCGGCTGGCCGGCGTCGGGGCGGGGGCCGA